GAAGAAAAAAACATTTAAAAAGGGACAACACACAGATAGAACAAGCAATTTCTAAAGCAATAAATACTACTGGTCCAATAGCGTTGTGATACTTTTAATTGTTGAGTAGCGTCCCCTCCCCCAAAAAGAACAACACCATGGAACAAGGTATATTAACACATTTTTTTTAACCCTTTGTTTCTGTACATTTAAACAATAACAAGTAACATCACAATAAAGGTTGTTTCACACAAGGAAGAAAAAAAAAAGAAGTAGTAGCGGCACCGCATTCGTTGTGCCCTTAAAGGTTTAAAAACCAGATGTAAAATGATTGGTTCGCAAGCTCGTATTTAATACAAATAATAAAGAACCAATGCCTCCGGCAAGGGCTGCTTCAAAATTGCTTCTTTTTTTTTTTTTTAATTTTTAAAATCAGTCTTTAAAACTAAGCTATTGGAACTACATAACAATTATGTATATATATATATTTTTTAAACGCTACAAAGACTTTAAACAGCTGTTGATAAAAATTTTGGCAGAATCATGAGGCTTTTCTCATCTACATATTTAAAAAGGAGAAATTGAAATAAGAATGGGTCAAATATTGACCAATGAACTCGATAAAACATCAACTAATGTAGCCACATGGCACGAATTAAAAACAAAACCGAGAAACGACGACAAACAGCGGACGACAACGAGGAGGAGAAGGGAAAAAAAAATAAAGAAAAGGAAAAAAAAAAAACAAAACAAAACCAAAACCCCAAACACCAACAGAATTCAATCCCCCCGAAAAAAATCGAAAGGGCTAACGAGGCTAAAGCTATTCTAAGGACTTGGTTACGAGGGAGAGCGGCTGGGGCTGTGTCCCCGCCAGCGAGCTGTGGGAATGCAAGGAGGACGTCGAGGGCTGTGCTAGGGATGCGGCGGCGGCCGGCGGGAGGGCGGCCGGCGGGTGGTCCAGGGCCCCGTTGGGGCAGCTGGCGGCAGGCAGGGCGCCGGGCTTGCTCGCAGCACTCTCAGCGAGGACGAGCGAGGATGGCGGCGGCATCATCACCAGGTGCGCCAGCGGGTCGGGCTTCAATGAGAGCGAGAGGGGTTGCGTTTGTTCAGTCTGTGGTTTCGAGTCTCTGGAGGGGGAGGCGAGCATGGCAGGGGAGGACGGAGGAGAGTCTAGTAAGCTTCCATCTGAAGAGGGTGGGCTGACGCAGCTGCCTTCACCTTGTATGTAGCGAACGCACTTTTTTTTTCTCCTAGAAACAGGGAGAGAGTTATCTGTGAATAAAGGGCAGAGATGCTGATGGAGACAGTTATCTAAAGCAAAGAGCCGTCCATTTGCTACCCTGGGCTCTGCACGGGTGGCACCCTGGCCCCACGTGCCATCCTGGGGGTCTGGCGGGGTGTTCTCGGCACCAAGCCCACGTGGAAACCTCCCCCTGGCTAATGGATTTGGAAAGGATTCACCAATTGTGTCTTCATTCCCCTCCTCTTCAGGCCGCCTCCTTTCCTTATTTTAATAATCAGAAAATCAGATAAGTGGTTTTTGGAGCCCACTGTGCTAATCTACAAACTCTCCTCCACGGAAAAAAAAAAGAAAAAAGAATAAAGAAATGTAATCCTTCTAAAATAAAAACTCTGGATTGTTGATGGTATCTCAAGATGTCCCATAACGCTGTCCAACTCAACAGGGCTACCTCTACACCTGCATCACCTGTCGTCTCTTAGGATGCCCTGCCCTTGGGAGGCAAGAACAGCTGCAAACTACCGCTCATTGCTTTCTCCTCTGTTAAGAACCACACCAAATCCAGAAATGTCAAGAGTCAGAAAGGAGGGATATATAATAGAAAGAACAAGAGAGAAGGGAAATAAAAACAAAACGAACAAACGAAGCAAACGGAAGAAAAAACAGGAAAAGAACAGGATAAACAGAGCATGATTCAAAATAACAAGAATAACTGGTTGTATGGCCTGCAGGTTGTGGTTTTAAATCGACTCAGTTTTACTTTTTGTTTTAGGGGAGAGTGGTAGATTTGGGAAGCTGCTCATCTGTGTTTTGGGGAATTTTCCTCTGAGAGGCCATCCATGTAACTCCAGAGTGGGATCCAATTTCAGTAGGTGAAGAGCATGATGGCAGGTACAAAGGTGAGGAGCAACAAGGAGCTTATTTCACACCAGGGAATACAAGAGTCTTGCAAGAGCCGCTCACCTTCTAATAAATAAGTGACCCGACAGAGATCTTTTCTCCTCCCTCTGTCCACTTAACAATGTCAAGGAGCAATGAAAACAGATGACAGTTTCACACCATCTCTCTTGCCAAGTATTTGCAAGACAATTCTAGCAGCAGGACAGAAATAATGAGGCAAACAACCACAGCATCTGGCAGAATGATGTTCAGTGGCCACCTTGACCCTAAGAATGCTGGCTCTCCAGCCCTCCTATTCACAAGCACACTTTCCATGGGAAGTGCTGACGAGCTGTCATATAGCCCAATGCATATGACAAAGTCTGCCTAGAGCAGCTCTGCCACAAAAACTTTGGAAGCTCAGCTAAGCTGTACAAAGCCACCAATGTGAAGGAATAGGTTGCTCTGCCCCTCCTGTGGATACACTGCCCCAGCTCAGCAACTCCATCAGAGGAAATGCCTGAGTGTGGCACAGCAGCTGAGGGTCACTGGGTAACATTCCCCACTCACACAGGTGTCCCAAATCCACTGCTGGTCACCAATGCTGTCCCCTATGTATGGTAACTGTGTTTGGGTTAAACCAAGCTCTGTTGTCTAAGCAATGGGGCTGGATGCTTCTTGACCACAAGGGAGATCAAACCAGCTTGATCCTGGAAGCAAAAAAATATCATCTCCCACAGCCAGGAAGGGAACAACAACCCTGGCAACCCATCTTTTTACCATTTTCAGTGAGGGACCAGTGCTGTGATATACCTTTCTCCAGAGACTCATGTTCTGCTCCACGTTCCACATGGCAAGGTAAGGGTTAGGGCTATTAGAGTTTTAACCACGTTAGCCTGCAGATCAATACATGCTAAAAAACTAAAGACAACCATGCAACTCAAAGGTTAAAAAGAAAGAAAGAAAGATAGAAGACAGCAAGTGAAGGCTGTAAACCATGCTTTATTAGAGCAACGTTAAAAGACAGAAAAAAATTAATTTGGTGGGCTCAAAACAGAACCTGTTAATTCTTCTACAATCCACAAACACCACAGGTAGTCTTTGGCTCTTGACTAAAGACAGTTCTGCTGCTCTTTCTCCCCTCTCCTCTCTCACCAATTTCTAGCTTCAGCTGTGCAGCGCTGCCTGTGGCACAGTTCATGCCTGGACGTTCTGTGCAGCTCCAGCGGCAAAGCAGAACAGTTGAAGCTTCACAAAGCTCACCAATATTACTTGTGTGGAAAGGTGTATTCTTACAATCTGGAGACTGCAGAACTCCCTCTCCATCCCCAAATTAAAATTACTTGCAAGCAGACACTCAAGCTCTGCCTGCCTCATTGATGGGGGTCCAGAAGTCATTTAACTGAACCTACAAGGCAGCTAATTAATTTAAGTGGAGGCAGTTTGAATCTAGTATGCCAGCATTTCAATTTTTTTTTAATATTATTTAAGTTCTGTGGCCTGAAAGAAAGAGCTTCCATGGCAAAGCAGCCTTAAACCAGGTCTACCTGACTTTCTGACTCTGCAGAGTTAACCTTTTTAAAACTAAACTCACTGCTCTGCTACCTGAAGTAATTTTCCTCGGACTACTAAGGGAGCAGATTGCTTCCTCTGCTTCTGTTGTATAATAAACTCTTTAATAGTGTGACCACTGAAAAGCCATTTACTTCAATTAGGATGGCTCAAGGGGGGAGATGTCTCCAGTCTGTATCAATCCCACCATGTGTTACCTGTGGTTACATACATGTTACGGTTCGGTGGGACAAAAGGCACAAACAGCCAAACCCCAAACCATGCAAGCCTAATTTTAACAGAAGTGAACACCACTAGACAACTCTGGTGAAGGGGAATGAGTAACAATCTAAGGAACTACTTGTGCCTCAGTTTTGCTCTCCTGCAAGCTGGGATAAAAATACTACCCATCCCCCCTCAGAAACCCTAGTGAAGATTATTCACTTGTGTATCGCTCTGAAGGCATCAACTGCTCCATCAGTCTGGTAAATACCAACAGACCTGACCCCACTTGTGCTGCCCTTAAAACTAGCCCTGGGACAGCACCAGGAAACCTGTAACGCTGCAATTGCCATGAGTGAAAGCCACAGAGGATGACAAGAGTTTATTCAGTTTTTGTGAGTAAAGATGTCTCAGTTTTTATCACAAGAGCAAACTGGACATCTTTAGCACCTAAGAGGCACTACAAAATGCTACCATGCCAGCAAATGCAATGTTATGATGGTTAGGACCAGAACTAGGAGAGAAATACCTACCACTAATACCTAGTGATAAAATGCCTCCATGCATTAAAAAAAAAAAATGAAAAAAAAAAAAAAAAGGCAGTTAATTCTGTATCAGTAAGTCTAAAGCTATCGGTTATACCACTGAAGTTGTCCCTGATGCGCTGCAAAGATCTCTGACCAAAATCTGGTGTTAAGAGAAGGTTTACGCTTCCCATGTAACCTAAGCACTGTACAGACCAAATAAAAAGTCCCCTTGCTGATAAAATGTAGTTTTAAAAGTATATTGTTTACTTAAGCAGCCAGGGAAAGATAAAACAACACAAACATGATGTGCCCCCAGTTCTGGTACTTGGCACACAGAGCCTGACATGCTTCAAATACTCTATCCGTAGACTACACAAATATCAGCTGATAGGGTGCAGCGAGCTAACCACAGAATAGAGCCTAACTAAACACAGCATGGGAGTCTTTGGCTAGAACGAGACTCAAGCCTCCTGACACACTGCAGTAGCTTATCCAGCTCTTCTGGACTGAGCCCTTCTTCCTTTAAGCTTTAACAAACTGCTGCTTTCCAAGCCTGTTTAACATATGTACTGGTACTGACATCTAAGAGCCCAACACCCCATGCTAGTATGTCTCAAATGGGACTATATGCAACCTGCTGAAGACATTTCTGGTGCCTTATCTGGTACATACTGACACACACCGCCACCCTCCATCTGTGTTTTCCTTGACACTAAGCACAAACAAGACTGCGTGCATACACAAAATACGATGGACGTCTGATCTACATTCTAAATGAGATGGAGCACATGGGACTGGCATGAGTAAGAGGGGAAAATGTGGGAGAGGAATCACTACACAGAGAGAGCGGTTTGGGTTGAAATACCTACCATCATAATATTCCAAATTCAAAGACTGCTTGTATCAGAATAAAGAAACAACAAATTTAACCAAATGCGATCATATAAGGAAAAAGGAATGAGAAAAGAACTACTCGGTATCCCTCCACCAAGAAAGAAGCACGTACTGAGTTACACATGGAATTAAACTCCAGTAGAACATGGGCTGCCGAAATTTGGGCTCTCTGATATCTTTCATCTCCTTTTAATGCTGGAAACTGTGTTACTGAAGTTGAAATTAGTTTTGTTTAGAGCGCAGATGTTTACAGCTCAGTTGTTCAGATAAAATTTAGTAAAAAATGTACTTTTGGAATCAGAAAAAAAGACATCATATTGTTTTAAAAAACGGTATCTAAATAAACCTTACTGAGGCGTAGAAGCCTCAGTAAGGTTTTCAAAAAATGAATATAAGCTGTAAACACTGGCTTTTATGTCTCTGATCATGAGAAAAACACTAGTGCTGCAGATCCCAGAACCTTTTTGTAAAGCCTTTGAAGGCAGTGGACATAGACACGAATGAAAGACAAAATATAAACTGTCCAGCTAAACGTTAATTTTGCTGGCAATCTGGAAAAAATAACCCAAAAAAAAGGCAAAAAAAAATTGCCAGTTTTCAGGACTTTGAGTTTTCTTGTTCCCAGTTCTACCACCAGGGAGAGGTTATTGGTAAAGAAAGAGAGAAAATGGCATTAAATTAGCGAGAAATTCCAAGGATCAAAGATTATTAGCATTTGATGCTGTGGGGAAGAGAAAGGTGGGGAGTGGGGAAAAAAGATTAAAAAAATAAAATCACACAAATGCACTAAGAGGACAGATTGCTTTTATTTCCCCAAAGGCCTAATGGGTAGTATTATACCTGCATGGTTTGCACCATAAACTCTGTCGGTCAAGCCCGAACAATGCCCGACACTTCTTTGGAGTATTTGCATCTGTTAGCATAAGGTAAACACAAAAAATACAACACAATGGTGGATAGAGCTCATTTGGTCTGCGTCATCTTAGCTACAGCTACGTTTAGCTTTCAATATCACCTCCATTTTATTTGGTAATCTCCCCTCGTACCAAGGGCAGGAAAGAAAACAGGACTTTCACAATGAGCCAAAGGAAAACCAAAAAAACCTCCGACACAGCCATGCGCCTGTTCTGGTGTCGGTACCGCACTCAAGGGCTTTGGGAGTGACTTTCCTTGGGTGGAGGCTGGGAAGGCAGGAGTGTGGTTGAGCCACAGATCAGATGGGCTTAAGGTTGATGCTGTTTTACAGTGGATTTTTGGCTAGCAGCAGCAAAGAGGAAGGCAAAAAAAAATAAAAAAAGAACAACCAACAAAGAAAAAAAAAAAAAAAAAAAAAAAAAAAAACCAAAAAAAAAAAAAAAAAAAAAGCAAAATCCTTTCAGAGAGACGATAACTGATGGCAGTGTCCCACTCCCTTGTGTCTTCTAGATCACAACATAGAGCTACAAAGCAACAAGGCAGGAGAAAAAAAAGGGGAAAGTACCAAATAAACCAGCTGCAAATCAGCCATAGCGAGTCTGGGAAAACTATACACACCTGCAGGGGCCGCACCAGTTATTCTGTTGATCAAGGCCAAAGCGCGCTCGGCATTTCTTAGGAGCGCTCAGGTCTGAATGAGTTCAAGAAAAGCGAGCAGAAAAGGGAGAGAGGAAAAAAAAAAGAAAAGGGGAGAGGGGGGAGAGAGAGAGAGAGAGGAAGAGAGAAAAGGAGAGAAAAAAAGAGAAAGATAAAAATAAGGAAAAAATAAAAATAAAAAAGGGAATAAAAATCAATGTCCTCGTTATTAATTGCAAATATTGACTTTTGATTTAAAAGTTAAAAAAAAAAGTGATAATCACATTTTTATTCAACTCTTGAGATTAGCTGTTGCAATTAAAGCTGCAGTATCCCTTTATAAAGGACTGTTTCTTTCCCTTTTAAGAGAGCAAGTAGAGGAACGTCATTGAGCTGGTCTAGCAGAATGTTTCAGGCAATATTTATTTGGGTTGGGTTTTTTATTCTCTTTTTTTTTTTTTTTTAAGAGGGGGGAAAAAGGAAGAAAAGAAGCTGAGTATGGAAGTTAGATCCTGAACATGCTTTTTTCTTCAACTCAGATACAAAATAAGAGAAAAAAAAAAAAGAAAGAAAAAAAAAAGGAAATCATATCTCCTGGGATAATGCAGCTTTTGGAATAACATTCAATTTATTTGTTTTTATTAATTTGTATTTAAAAGAATGGATAAGGATAAGCAGATTGCGAAATGAGTATGTTAGTGTCAGCCAGAAAATAAAACGTAAAGCATGGCAAGGTGCTGAGTTAGTACAGCCAGTGAATTGCAATGAATAGGTGGCTTGAGCAGAAAGGAAAAAAAAAATCCAAAACTAAAATAATAATAAAAAAATGCGTATGCATGCTAATGTGAGAAGACTTAGTGGGAGCCATGAAAAATGCCATTAGATTAAGGAGGTTCATTACTGACTTGTTTCCATTCTTTATCAGTCTCTTTAAAGAAATACTGCATATTCAATTTGCACAGTTAGTACAACTCTTGCGTTATTTTTACTGTATTACTGTTTTAATAGCAATTGTTACAAAACAAAAAAAAAAAACAAAATTAAAAAATACTATCAAACATAATAGATATAAAGATATATAGATAATAAATATTATCAAAACGTGTGGATGGTATTTTTTTCTTAATGTCATAAGTGTTTAATGTTAAAATCTATAATGGCAGGAAAAAAAATTAAAAAGCAGTTTATAAACTATTTTAAATGACTCAAAATGACGTTAGCACCTGTAATCGGAGGAAGTGAAAGGCAAGGATTTAGGAAACATTCGCTGTGTTCTGAAAAAAAAGAACAAATTATACAAAGGCTTCAAAAAAACTAAGTTAGGGCTTCTTCGAAATCGACTATGAGATTGCCTATGCAGTATTTCTAATTTCCTATATATAGAACGGCAAACCTCCTTAATTTAAAGTGGGTGCGATTTACCACTGTAAGGCATGCATCAGAACACACAGGTACAGCCCAAATTAACACCAAACACACACACACACACGCACACACACACACATATGTGCAAAATAAGCGGACAACTTTAAAAACGATGGCATAGGCATTACAACTACGGCTCTGCAGTTAAAGGCTTGGCAACTACCATGTACAAATTCAGCTAATGTCACACGAGGTTCTCACATGCAATGGCTTGGGTTACTAGTTTTAGAAGGGCAGTAACGCGTAAATAATTGGAGTGCATTTAAAAAAAAAAAAAAAAAAAAAAAAAAAAAAAGCTGTCTACTATAGGGACCGGCTCCCCGGAGGCCAGGAGACCTGTACCCACCTCCCCCGTGCCTAGAAGGGTCACACCAGGACTGCCACACTTCCACTAAGTAAGAGATTTAGAGTTATTTTTACTTACCATTGGTCTCTCCTGGCTGCTTATCCCTTTTCCTCTTCTTCTTCTTTCCCTGCAGAAAACACACACAAAGGAGAAGGATTTAAAAAACAAGCCAAAACAAGTGTCCTTGAAAGTCAGCACCGAGCAGTGAGGCTGTGGCTGGTGTGGGAAGCTCCCCACAGAAGCCCAGCACTAGCTCACCCATGGGGCAAGGAAGTTTGAGGGACCCCAAGGAGATGCTGCACTCTGGGACTGGCTCTGCCTGCCTTCCCTGTGACTTTTAGGACAGCCTCACTGCAGCTCCCCCCCAGTGTTAACACCCACCAAAACCATGAGCATCTGGGGAGGGGGGAAAACGACTTGCAGGATGCTACTTTAGAGCTAAGATCATCACCAAGACAAAAACATTTATGTGTGTGTACGCTCCTGCATCCTGAAGTTTCAGAAACTGTTTGTGGTCATGTTTTGGTGAGGAAGGGAGGGAAAAAAAGAGGGAGACTGACCTCACTCAGGCACCCTCCCTGCTTCAGATTGAGCCCCTGGAGTTCCTCAGCACCAAAACCCAACCATTAAAGCAGACAAGGAAGCCACAGCAGTGAGCAAATCCTAACCTGCAGTTTTGTAAGTGCACTGACAACCTCGAAAGCAATGCCAGAACAAGAAAAAAATCCAGACATAGCCAAGAACTTTCCCACATTTTGCTCTGCCACAATGAAAATAACCAGTAATATTTTGCTAAACTGTCCCTTTCCCACTGTACCACAAGATCATGCAATTTACTATGGTTTTTAACTGGGGGGAGAAAATCCATTTCTCAGTTTCCCTCCAACAGCGTGGGAGAGGACAACTGGGAGTCCAACTTTTGTGGAAACGCAATGATTGCTTTCCAATAGAAAAATTAGAAAGTAATAAGAATAGTTCAAAAGAGAAAAGCTATTTTTTCCAACAAAATTCTTCTAACACTGAGGTACAGGTTTTGCAGTGCAGTACAACAAGGCTAGTGTAGGCAACAGAGTAATTTCATTTTCCCAACTCCCCAGATGCTAAAAGCCAAGACTTTTGGGCCTCTGAACAGCACAAGAGATCCTGATTTTTGAAGACATGGCAGTAAGAAGAGCTGATGAGAAGACCCCAGAGCAGGAGTCCTTTGCGGTCAAGAGACAACAAACATGTCCTGGAAGAAGGAATCTCACAGCGCTTTTGAATGGGTAGATGTATCTGTAGGAGGGGCAAGAGGTTCTCCCACATGGTGGGCACCTTTCTCAGAAGGTTGCTCTGCCTCCAAAGCTACATGGTCAAGATGGGCTTCTGTGTGGCACATCCACTATAACATTTGGGACATTCACTATGATAGGCTTCCTGGAAGTAAAAAATTCCCCCAATTTGAATGTAGGATACTGATTTATTGTTGCCCTGTTTTTCCTCCCCAAAGCTGCCCTTGTGGCATGGGGCTTCTATACTGATTCCTCCTTTCTTCCTCAGGGTTGTAAAATTCCATCCTGTTGCCCAGGCTGCTCCAGGTTTACGAGATGCTTCTGGAGATGCAAAAAGCTGTGTGCATCATCCATTTTTAAAGGCATTTTGGAAAACATGCACATAATCCTGTAGCCTGGATGCTCCTGACAAATCATCTCCAACACGTCTGAGATAATTTTTTGGGGGATACAGAAAGTTGTCAATTGCTACAGCAGTCATCAGTCTAACAAGACAGGCAGGCAAGATAGACAAGTATTGCTCCTAAAGCTCCTTGAGAACAGAAGAGGGAAAATACAGTATCTTGAAATACACGTATCACATAGAGATACAAGAGGCTCAGACTCTGCTCCATCTTTACTGATCTAGATTGACAATAACTCTGTGGAAGTCGGTGGATATTTTCCACCTTTCAGCAATGTAACCAAAACCAGACAACTGCCTCAGGATCATAAGCCTGATTTTTATTTAATCTCAAGGAGGTCACTTCCATAATTAACACACTGCATCTCTGACAAATTTGCTTAATTTTAGCAGTTCATTTGGGAATTCAAGGGCTATTTCAATTTAAGACCTTATAACTTCTTCATGAGGGCCAGCGAGACCAGAGGTGAGGAGTCTGTCCTTCACAAACTCTTCAAGCCAGGCATTAAAGTACTGTAATGCCTTTAGGGAACAATCTGTTAAAAACAGCTGATATACAGGAATGTCAGCCAGGGACCAGGAATTTCTGGTTCCTTTTCAACACAAGCTTTGAAAACTGTTCCTAACAAAGAACTGACAGAGGTCCCACTAACTTCTTTTATACCTTTTTCAAAGGAAACAGGGAGAAGAATCACCTGGCTTACTTGTTCAGTTTCGGTGATACAAGAAGATATTTGACTATGCAGCTAAATTAATATAGGTACTTTAAAAATGAACTATGGTAGCAGTTTTTCAAGTGCTCTGCAGAAGGCACCATTTTGCCTTTGCCACAGATTGTCCTCGTAAGACTCGAGCAAATTGTGACATTTTCTCTCATTGTACCATACAAATTATTAGGATGCAAGTACATAAACATAGATATAAATACTTGTTAATCATTTTGGCAGCTCGCTCTACAGAACCAAACCAACATTGGTTTTGATAGAACTTGTAGTACTTCTTTGGTACTAATTTTCTAAACAAAGCGGTGGGTGAGGTGACTAGACCCTTACGTACTTCTGAGTCCAACACTGAGCACGGCTGAATATCTTATATTAGATCTCAGGAAGGCAAATGTGCCTCGTGACACTAACAAGCCATGAAGGATTCCCTGAATCCTCTTCTCTTATTTAAGTGCAGCCTGAAAGCTGCATTTCCTGAATGTATTGCTCCTGTTTCTGAAGACTTGGGCTACAGGTGGCCTCATCCTTGAGCCCAGTGTGAGGGTGCCTAACAATTTAACCACTTCAAGCAGCCCAAAGCTACTCCCTTGCTTGATGAGTAAAGGGCTCAAAACCCTCCAAACCACTGAGGGAGGAGGGGAACTCGGAGAGCTGTGAATGGACCAGGAGAGGAGACATAAATAAATTCTGCGGATGACGCAAAGGTACCATGCTCTCCTCAGGCAGGAAGGTTCCCCCTGAAGGTCACTTGGGGGTACAGCATCAAGCCGCTGGGAAAGCACCGGCTTTCTCATCCTGTCCTTTTTAGCTTGAGAAGAAAGGGTTTCTCAGTGCTCACACGGTGAGGACAAAAGTAAAAGGTCCTAAACACTGAGGCTTTGTACGTGCCCATCTGTCAGTGGCACAGTCACTGCACAGAATGAGCATCCCTGAAGCCTCAGTCGAGCCTTTACTCCCTTTGAACACCCAAGACGATGATACTGCACAGTGTTGAGGAACTACCTCAAGCCTATAGTCTGACAGCCTCAGGCCAGACTATGCTGGGAAAGAGGGAGCAAGGCTGAGCCCAGCAGAAAGAAAAGATGATCAAGAAAACAAAGATTTGAGAAAATGTCCTTAAGTACATATTGCTAAATAAGTGGGCATGTGTACTCTCCACCACTGAAACAGCAGAAGAGTGCAGAGAGCTGCTGCTGCTCTGGGCTTCACTGCAGACTCTGAACTGGCTTCTCCCCATCCAGCCCATGCATGTAAAAGTGCAGATTCTCAGAGGCAAATATTGCCATATACAGCAAAATAGGATATTTATGGTAAAACAGGCAGTGATGAGGATGGGGATGAAAGAGAGACACTTCAACAAAACCAAAGTGTGTAACACTATTTGTAACTGACATCAATCTTAAGAGCTGTTGGTCCCCAAACCCACAGGGAAGTCTGCCTAGAAAGCAGGCAATAGGGTTTAATTCCAGAGTTAGAGACCTTGGAAGTTTTAGGTGATTTTTATTTAACTTAAAAGAAAAAAAAATCAAGATGTTGCTATAATCCTATTAAAAGGAGTTTAGAGCTCCCACCAACCCACAAATCTGTCAAGAATTTATGGGCTTAGGCTTGCAAACACTTATTACCATCTGCACCTCTTACCCTTCATGGAAGGAGTTATATAATACTAGTAAGTGGTTAGAAAGCTGGCCTTATGTTTTTTTAAGAGACAGAGAATTCTACCACTTTTAGCTACAAAAGAAGAAATACAGAGGGAGGAATCAATCTTAAAAACAATTCATGAATTGACCACAAATTCCAATACACTTTTTAAAAAAGGAGGACGGAGAAGAAAAGAAGGTAACATGGGCATGAAAAAGCAAAAAATAATCGAAATATACAACAGTAGAGCATGGCACAATTTGTTTAGCCGCACTTGAGTAAGACTTTCAAACAAGTCATGCTTTTGGTTTTGCCAATCCTTATTTGAAGCTAGGATAAGCCATTCTTCCACTTTCCACTATACTCTCACACAGATAAGCACAAGACACTTATTATTCATCTGTTTTGGTGGAGAGGAGCCATACTGGGGGGATTTTTTTTTTTTTTAATGAAATTTAAAATGACCAGCAAGCCAAACAGCATTTCCAGATGCTGGTAAAAGTGAAAGTAATACTTTCTTCACAGAGCTCTACTGTCATGCCCCAACTCCAACCCTTTACTAGTCCCAGGAAGCCAGGAAGCCTTTTCCAAATGTGGAGGGCTGGGAGTTATCCCCAGTAGTTTTAGTACCGCAGAGGGAAGCGCCCGTTGTTGTTACCGGATTGGGATCCCAAGGCACGCTTCCCAAGTAGGGCTTGTGTACAGTGTGTGATCGTAGCTCGGCAGGTCACACACACATTTCTACAAGCTCTACCACCAAAAAAAATTTCCACCTACGTAGGAACCTACATAGTTATCCCGTGCAGACCAGCCCGGGTACAGCTGCATATGAAGCTGTCGCTCCTTTCTTGCTAGTTCATAGTATTTCGCTTGTTCTTCTCTGGATAACGCGTGCCACTGAGGTGAAGAAAAGAGAAAAAGACATAATAAAAAGCACTAGGGGTTGGGGTTTTTTAAGCACATTAACAGTAAAGTATATTATATTTATATATAAACACAGTCAGAATTGATTTTCATGATGAAGAGATAAAACCAAATGATCTGGCATGCTGACATTCATATTTTATTTATAACTCCAGATTATAACTCCAGTTAACTCAACTGAGCCACAACTAATCATTTACATTCACTCAGTCCCTTTGTCTCCTGTTGAGAGAGGAGAATTAAGAAAACTAAACAAAAACAAACAGCAGGGGAGAGGGTCCAGAAGCTGAACCACTTGTCCTGAGCCACAACGCAGCTTTAGAGGTGTTCTCCCCTTCCCTTCCCCACTGGAACTCTCTTTCTTCTAGCTCTCACAGGTGCTGATACTGATACTGTACTCCAAAGCTTTTTCATTTCCTATTTATATTTCTGCCTATCTTAGGACAAAATAAAAATCTCTGAGATTTTTTTCATCTACAGGCCACAGAAATAACACTGAAATAACACTGCTATTAATTAACTCCTCCTCTTCCCCATAAATGACCCCACTGGCAAGAACTATCTGCGAAAACTAGACACCAAAACCAAGGCCTTTTGTTTAGTAATTTCCCTAGTCATTACCAAAATAGCAGGAGGACACAGGGATTCAGAAGGTGTGAATCCTACCGAGTTTCAGTCCCTGCTGGTGCTTCTTCCCTTGTTACCTACCCTTCGACCGAGGATTTGGTTGATGGCTGCGCTTTCTTTCAATGTGCATTCTGCTACAACTTTTGCTCTCATTTCCTTCATATACAACATAAATGCATTAAGAGGTTTCTTTATGTGTGGCTTCTTTTTCTCTTCTTCTTTTTTGGAGTCCTGATGTTTTCTGAAGGGTAAAGATACAACAGAGACCTCACAGTGAGAACCCTTGTGAATGTATTAAATTAATCCCCTCAATCTCTCTAGCATTAATCCTCAGAAATCTCTAGGAAGAGGACCAGAAGGTTCTCTAGAGCCTTCACCCTGGATGCTGTATGAAAATAGTTTTAAGAGCATTATAAGAAAACTCATCTCATATTTATGCAGTATCACCAAATAACCTCTCAGCCCCTACAAAAACCTTGGAAGGACATGGACATCCAGTAAAATGGGTTCAGAGGGAGGGCTTGTGAGCACGATAGTAGAGGAAATAATTATATCCCATCATCAATGGGAACCAAAATGCTGTCTTTGTGCATCACCTGTGAAATGAAAGGCAATAAGCACCAGAAGCACCATGGGCAGAGGCAGACGAGGACTCTCCTTGGTTCAAACTTTAACTTGATACCAGCTCTCTGCAGCTTTGAACAAGCCATTTATGCTCTAATTTATTGTCTCCCGTGGTTTGTCTGATATCTCAAGGCTTCAAATCGGGCACTGAGTAACAGAGAAACCATCAAGAAACTTGAATCTTGATCAAGAAAATGCCACTTCCTTGTTAAAACAGGTGAAATTAATAACAACTTGACTTATGGCGCAGAAGGACTCTGAAAGACTGCCACCATCATTCTGACACACTTTGTCAACTACACCATGTTCAAATCAATTATAACGCAAGAGAAAAAGTAATTAAAAAATATTTTACAACAGAAACATTCTCGCAAACCCAACCGTTTTTATAAGCCACACATGCACAGGCGATGCTTTGAGTATTCTAAAAAGAAGACAGGGAAGCAACAACTTACGAGCTGTGGAGTGAGCCAACGTCGCTCTGGGAAGATTCCTGTTTGACTGTTGGTGTGACTATGGCCGGATGAGGAATTCCAGTTGTATGTAAACTATGGTGTGGCGGGACCATGTGTGGAGGAAACCTAGAGGAGAGAAAGCTGTGTAAATCGTCAGAATAAAAATGAATGAATGGGGAGGGATGTGTACACACATTAAAAAAAACCCCCGGCATATAACAAGCACATGACAGCTAGACAAAGCATATGAAAGCTGGCAGCATTAATTAGCAATAAATTAAACATAATGACTCTTCTAATGTCATTAAAGCCAATCTTCCCCTTCATTATCATTACTGACATGAGACATCATGATTTTTAACATCTTGAACAAAAGGCGAATTCAACTGAATGAGCACGTATGAAGGTGCAATTTCAGCTACCTGCAACAAAATCCACCAGTCCATTTCTTTGCTAAGAAATTATCTGTGGCAACCCAGGAATCAATTTTTATAGTTTTGAATCATGTTGCGAATTTAGGATGACATCCTTTATTGTATATTGACAGCAAAATAAAATATTAATGCCAACACATACTAGATGCATTTTTGATAATACTTATAGATGCCTCATTAGCTACATTTTGTTGAAGGAGCAAAAGAAAATATTTATTTCTGTCTAATAAATCTCTGAGCCACATTGCTTTAACAGAGGGTGGGAAGATTGTGAAATTTAATCAATTTTGACCCATTAAATAACCTAGAAAGGCTTAAATTCATGCAAAAAAGTCTAGACTTTTTTTAGAGAATAAAATGTTGTCAGCTTAATGGTTTATGGTCTTATACATGGACAGGCAACTGGATTCAGAGGGATGTGCAATCCTTCTTCATGAATCTAATTGCCTGGTTGGGATCACAGCACAGACATGGCACAATCATTCAAACTTTTTACATTTTAACCAAAATGAACAAACTTCTCAAAAGCAGGATTATTTTTCAACAGTCTCGGGAAGTTTTTGCAGTGAATAAGGAAAGCATAACATGACTGACTGCCTTTCCCTCAGAAAACTCCCACAGAAGTCAAAGGGTTTCCAGGGAATAGGATCTAGCCTAAAATAATATTTCAGAAACATCTTTCCCCCACATGCCAAAGCTAAAGTGATCTGGTAAATGACAAGGGTTTTTCTTACTGCAAATCCGTACTCTCATCTCAGATTTTGAACCACCTGGTCCAATTAAAATAACCAAAGAATATGGAACACCCAATGAGATAAATAATTACTTCTTCTGTCATCAATATACAATGATTTCTTTTCTATCCAACATGATTTAAAATGGGATGATACACCATGGATCAGTAGACTGTGGATAAGTATCAGAAACATAATGTGATTTCTTTTTTTTTCCCTCTCTCTCAAAAATTCCAATATTGAGCTTAACAATCTGCCCCCCTGAAACTGCCTAGACATTCCCTACATTCACAAGATGACACAGAAGTACTTTCATAAACAAGAGGTACTGTCCACCACAAGCTCTGAGGATCTTTGTCCATCAGTTGGTAGTACTCAGAGTGATTAGACAGAAGTATTTTGTCTTCGAAGGCAGTGGTGGGAAGAGCAAGGACTGACAGGGAGAATGTGAAATTGTTCAAGTTGTAGAGAACTGCAATTCCTCACAAACAAAGGCATGGAAAAGAGGAGGGTGGGATGGTAAGGGAAGCAGAGAATAGGCAGCAAAATGGTGATTCCTACTCCTGCTAAAAACTCACAAACACAAATCTCCAAGTGGATTGTCCAAGTGCCTTCCCACCATCTGACCAAAGTAGCTGGGAGAGAAGCACACATTTGAGGATATACTTTGATTCATGGTAGGTCAGAACAGAAGACAATGTTGAGGCTGCAAAGGAGACTGACATCCTTGTCCCAACTCTGCCACAGGACTGCCTCACCATCAGCAAGACACAAACTGGGCCTTTGTATCAATTTTTTTTTCCGTTCTCTCTTTATTCTCCTGTGTATGTATTTTGATTGGACATACTTAAAAGTTTGTTCACACAGTGCCTGGGGCTTTCAGCCACAGTACAATGCAAACAGTAAAAACTGACAGTGAGAGACTTTTTTTTTTTCCCCCAAATAACTTACAAGAATGGCAAAAATAAAACCAATGGCAAAAAATGGACCTCCCTGAAAGCGGTGTAAGTGTAGTAATAAAAAATTGACACATGTCTATTGAATGACTGTCTCTCCTAGTCAGGATCTAGTGTTCAAGAGAGGACTATGCTGCTAGGCCACTGAAAAGGGGACAATGAAGGATGAAGATGGAGATGAAAAGCCTTCCTTCAGAGTGCAGGCGGAAGAGCTGCATTTGTCTGACATGAGGGCTCAGTAGGAAGTGGAGTGGGCACATAGCAGCGAGGAAAAAGAGCTGAGTGCAGTGATAGCACAAGGGTATGAGAATGGAACTAAGATCAGACTCATCACTGCAGAAGGGCTTCCAAGTATCACGAAAGGCTGATTACAGATGGAGACAATGGGGACAAAAGATGGTGCTTGTTAAGCTTCTGCAGAGGATCCTGTGATGTGGTCATGATAACTGGGTCACAGACTTGCCTCTCAAATGAGGAACCGGTCAAAAATGAAAACACACTGCAAAATGAACTCTGCCTTCGTGGTGGACTGTTGTATGATTGGGATGTCCAAAGGAAACATATTCAACAAAAGAGAGGGGGTTATTTTATTTGTTTATTTTTGATGAAGACTTAGGTACTTCAACTCATGAAAAATAGAGGAGGATGAAGAAAATCTGCAAAAAATATGACTTCTCCACCTAATTATGGAAAAAATGTACTTCCAACTACTGTTCAGGAGAGAGAGAGAGTATTTACACATTGGAGAGTGACCAGATGGGGAGGAAGGGCAGTGAAGGAGAAGAAACCTACAGGCACATGCTGTGTGAAAGCCTGAAGGATGGTGAAGCCTTCACTGACTTCAGCTGGGATACTTCACTCACTCAGCTTTAAACTCCATGGACAGCCAGCAGCCTTCCTCAACAGGCAGCAGCAGCTCAGTAGTTATTTTTGGGCTTGCAGTTTCCACAAGGAAGTGGTGTGTTCATTACTAACAACCATTCGTTTTTTCATACTGAATCTGTCCAACATACAAGGTTGCCTATTGGACTTACACATCTCTTCCTATGTTCGGGGCTGTAAAAACATGATCCAGAACCCACAGTTCCTCTCACAATCCCATGGGCTTCAATGGGCTGGTTGAGGTTTCAGCCTAAATTCTGCCTGCCTGTTTATTTCCAGGCAGACATCCACTCACATGGCAATACAAGCAGGGGAAGAGTGTTAATTTTTAAGTTCCTGGCTACACTCCAACTTCAGTAATTACATTCAGCAAAAGTGAATTTCCCCCAAAATTTCAATTATAGAAGGTATTTTCCACTGCCACCACTTAACTGCTGTGTAGTGTTTGTCTGGTGTTTGTAATCCTGCTAAATTATTTCCTGATTTCCTCTCACTGCAGTTGTTTTTTCATAGTGGGTCCACTGTTTGCCTATCAGTCAGTTAACCCTGTCCCATTTTACCTTAAAGGCACATTACAGAGGGGTAATGAAAGATCAAGAGGTGTTACAAGCACACTGCATGCATACGAAGTGAATGGGGCAATGCTACAAGCAACAACAAAGAGTTGCAAATGGTTAAAACAACTGGAAGACACTACCTTACCAGTCTAACCCATTTATGAAAAATCACTATTAGTCACCCATTAACCTTTTTATAAACTATTCATAAGCACACTCTAACTAATGAACTGAAGTTACTGAGCTTAGGGAGCATTCAGGGTTGGGAAGCATTATATGTGCCAAAGATCTATACCATAAAGTAGGCAAAGATGGGAACTATCTTTAAAGAAAGGGTCTGGAAAACCGTGGATGGAGGGGTGAGGTTGGGGTCTGCCCTGGCTTCAGTGTTCGGGCAGAGCCAGCACAGCAAAGCCAAGGCTTGTCCCAGGGCCCTGCAGGGCGGTTGTCCAGAGGCCACAAACAACACGTATGCGGGCAAGTGTGGGCATCCCTGGGCATGCCAGCTCCATCTCCCAACTCCACTGGCTACTCAGGGCCAGGGCTGTCCCAGGGCTGAGCCCAGACACTGCAGCTGATAGGGCAGGCATGAGGAAACACGCCTCGAACCGTGTATCAGAGCACAGTCTGCCCAGAGGGTGTTCCCATCTATGGGAAACCAGGAGAGAAGTTTCTGGGCTGAAACAAAGGGTAAACATCTTAAATCTATTCATCACTCTGCATGTGTGCCTGAGCATGTGTGTGTGTGTGTGTGTGTGTGTGCGTGTGTGTGTGCAGGCTTATGTCAGAGACAAAAAGAAAGGCTCTGTGTGTATGTGCACACCCCTCACCTTCGCCTAAGACATTCACCATATTTTTTCTCTAGACAAGTATTCCATGAATTGCAATAAACACCCTAAAAATTCTAAGCAGCTCATTATACACTACTGTCTCCTTTTATGGCTCCAAGCCAGAATATAATGATGAGTCTTAACTTGTTAAGGACAACTAATTTTTTGTTCCTGGCTGTCTCAGGGGCTTCTCTCTTACTCACTCTCACTTTACTTCACTGTTGACATGTTTCTGTTAACTGGATGTCATCTGCCTGCCTTGATTTTATGCACAAGCAGTGGGATGCATTTTTCTGTGCAACAATTCTGCTTTGAGTTGCATTAGATTTGTCATTATTCTCTCATTTTCCCCTTGCACTTGTAACATTTCATCTATTCCTGCCTTATTTTTTGAGCCACGGTGCACCCACATTATGGTTTATACATGATCTTGCTCCCTTTGAAGCCGGCAGATTTCAGAGCCAGCCCTCGTCAGGAGAAGTGCCTGCTACCAATTTAGCAGGCTGAGGGCCCCGAGCTCCAACAACTCAATCTAAAGGGGGTCACAGGGTGGCACAAGCGAGTGTCAGCAAGTGCTGTTTAATTGCCAATCTAGGCTTCTCCATGGTGTTTAAAGTATAATGACCCATCACTTAATTCTGAGAAGTCCTGGCCCTGCTGCTGAATGGAATGAATATCAAAGGATGTGCTAGAACAGGGCAAGGAGCCTACATTTCCTATAACTGCCATAAGTATAATAGACCTCTACTTCTGTCGTCCCATTACCACAATAATGTATTTAATTTGCTGTGTACTCTTTTTAACTAGATACCTTTCATAAAGTCTATCTTGGGAATATAGCCCCCCCTTCCACATCTCCCCCCTCCCTCAAATGACTAGCCTCTGTAATAATAATTAAACTAAATCAAGCTCTACTTTGCCTCACACCATGCCTGCAAGTATTTTATAGATATTTTAAAAGATTAAACAGAGGGAGGGAATCATTGTTTAAATTTGCAGCTCTCTCTCCCCAACCCAGTATTTTTTCTCCACTGGGCTGGGTCCACTAATTTTCCTTTTAAAGTTGATTTTCCAGTTGTCTCTCTATTTGCTGGACCAACATGGACAAATTTTAATTTTTTTGCTTTTCATTTACTTATCTAAAGCACACAATACACTATTTCCCTACCCATTCACTCATGAGCTCTAGGTGCAGGTTTCTGTTTCTCAATGAGCTGTGCCTCCCCCCAGCCCTCACCAATCTTTTCCTCCTTAAATCATCTATACACCAACCTTCACATATTAAACTGCAGAGATGGAGAGGAAGGGACAGAGCAAGGAAGAGATGTGGAACCTTGCTATGTAATGCATGCTAATTTAATTATGTGCCATCATCAAAATGGATTAGCTTTTTCAGCCCATCAAGAAAGTCTAAACTTCCACCGATTTAATTAACCAGACCGAAAATCAGATGAACAGAAAATAAAACTATCATTAGGAGCAATTAGTGATTACTTAAACATAGTGCTGCCAACCAGTTTGTAAATAAAACTAGCAGCCCCTGGAAAATTAGATGGAATTAATTGGAGGTAGGGAGGGGGAGAAATATATACTTCTAAAGCTTTAGAGGGTCAGGCAGGCCCTTTTATGTTGACTATCAGTGTTTGGAGCTTTGGTAGGGGAAAACATAGCGCAATAACCTTCCTCCCAACTCTGCTTGAAGAGCAGTCCTCTTCCCTCCCGAGACTTCCCTCTTGCACACAGAGCGCTAATCTGGTTGGTAGCCGCTAAGAAAGCAAAAGGTAGCATGACTTCTCCTCCTTGCTTTTTCAGCATGATATTCTCCCAGCTCTTTCATTTAGTTTGGCTTAAAAGATGACTTCTCACACCGCCACCTCTCCCTCAAAAACAAGTCCTTGAAGCCCAGTGCCAACATTAGGACATCACCTTCTCCTCACACTGGAAGGTACCCCTCGCCCTCTCCTCCTCCCCCCCACCAAAGTGCTCTTAGAAATGTGCTGCCTAGATGAAATGCACTCCAGAGAGAGCAGTAGGAGGAGTTACATTTGCTCTTGGTTAAGGACCTCAGTATTTAAACTCACCTTGACATGGAAGCATTGACGGTCAGAGCTGTTGGGTAAGGGTGGCGGAAACCCCCTGTCGTGATTGGGTACACTGGCTGACCTTGCCTGACAAAAAAGAAGGGAAAGAGAGAATGAGAGAAAGAAAAAAAGGGGTTTAAAAAAAAAAAAAAAACACAACAAAAAACTTCTCTCTGCACAGTAAGCTTTATTCTCATTTGATCAGAACAAAAATCTTGGGGATTGTACAGCAAGGATCAAAGGAAAGAAACACAGAACAATTTGAATGCCATAAATCTGATAGGAATGGCTAATTAAATTTTATAACCTCTGCTTATGTCAATAGAGACCCTCTCCCCAAGCTGAAACTAGGTGTTTTGTTGTAATAATTAAAGGCGAAGTCTCGCTTGCTTTAATGGAGCCATCACACTAATTGAGGGCTACACATCCAAAGGAAAACAATAATGAATGTAAATTTATACCAAAATAAAGTACAGTGAATCAAAGGACTTCAGTTGCGCTTTGGGCCTCTTTCGGTATTTAGATCTCGGTGAGAAAACATTAAATTAACAGAGCTTAATTTGTAGCCTTTTGTCAGATTAACAAGTGTTGACAAGAGTTACCGGGGGAGAGTCCCCAAGAAGTATTGTGGGTAACCAATAGACAATCACACCTCATTACAATAATTAAAAAATACAGCAACATGCAAAACAGCATCCTCATGAAAGACACACAACTTTTTCTGATGGAGGTTTGTCTGTGCTGGCTTGCTCGTTTCATCTGTCCTTCAAATGTATCATATGACTGGGCAGGATGCTTTTGGGGTGGGTCCTATGCCAGAAACATGAAGGCCAGTTGAGGACAGATGGGTTGGGAACTTGATGGTGAAGCACAAGTGGCAATGAGAGGGGAAATGAAAACCTTGGGTGACTTCTGTGAAGTTGGCCATGCTACTCTCCTAGAGCAAAAGTGAATGTCATGGTATCAACCCCTCTAAAAAAAACCACTTGGAGAAGTTGTAAGAGCTGTGTGTAGGTAAGTACTCTATGGGTATTCACTTGTTTAAACCAGCAGTGATGACAAGAGCCTTCCAGTGACAGACTAGGCCATTAGCACCTGGCTGGTGAAAGTGGCCACATGAGGCAACACTCATGTGCTTTGGCAGCCACGGCATGAGGCTCAAGGAGGACAAACCCGTGTCTGGACACGTACAGATGTAAGGTCCGAGACACAGATGAGCAACGAGGCACAGGGCAATGACAGTGAGGAGTTTCTTCCCTGCACTCTCATGTCTTTCATGTTCCTGATTTTTGGCACTAGTTGAGTATGTTTGTTTTAAAATCCTGAGGCTGTTGCTATGAAAACTTGAGCTAAGCAGCTGTAACAGAGGAGCATGAGACAGCTGTACTGCAGAAAAGCTGACATGCACTCTACCAATATTCAGGGTGACCTACGTGTAAAGTAAGTCACCATAAATGAGGAGGAATTTCAGATTTCAGGGTGCAATGCTCTGGGGTTTTTTTCTGCTCATGATGAGCTCTTCTGCACAAGAAGCCTTCTGCAGAGCTCTGACGGACTGCAGGGAGCTGATGCCTCACCCTCAGGGTGGGAGAGCCTCTACCCAAACAAGCTGCATGACCACCCCATAAGGAAGGGCAGCCCACAAAGTGGTCAGAAGTGGGCTGCTGTGGCCAACATCCGAGCTCCAGCTCTCCTGCATCAACACTTCTGTGCTTGAGAAAGGCCCCCAAAGCCTCTGATGCCACCAGCTCTCCCTGCCCAAGACCTGGAAGTATGTGGGGATGCCCTGCTCACCCTATAGGATGTCAACTGAAATTCCTCATGGAAGGCAAACTTGAGGAGAGGTATGTTAGCACAGCTGGCCAAACAACCTCAAGCAGGAGCAAACTGTTCTGAGCTTTGGGCAATACATTTCTGGAAGAAATATGATCACTCCGATTCGTGAGAAAAAGAGGGTAACAGTCTTGATTTATAATGCAACAAACCGTTGTATCCAGAAATACAAATGGATTTTATAAGTATTTAAATCAAATATACTACACAAAAGGCTTAGGTAGTGCTTAAATGTATTATAAACCCATTGTAGAGATGGCAACATAAGAGAAGGAAGAAAATAAGGACCCAGTTACTGGAGGGAGTCTCATACCCAACACAACTCTGCAAGTGGGATATATGAGGAGTTAAAAAGAAAAAAAAAACTTCAAGCTAACTTTCCACAGCTTTTTTCTTGGCCAGTTTTAAAGTAAACTAATTCCGCTTTCTTGTTTGTAAGAAAATTCCATTCCTTAGATGCCAACTGCCCAGCCACATCTTGACCAGGAATCCTGCTCACTGGCCGATGCAAAGCTCTACTGTTTCACAAGAAAAATGAAAAGTACTTTCAACAGAGAAGGCAAATGAAATTTAAAATTAAATTACACAGTTGTAGTGAAGATGGCCCTGGTAAAAATGAGGGTCCGTGAGAACCACCCTGAGTCCCCAGAAAATCAAATCTGAGAAAAACCCATGTGGTGCAGTGTAAGGGCAATAACAAGGAAAGGGCATTTCTTCAGCAGGGTTTAAAAATGCATGCTTCACGAGCCATCAGCCAGTTGGGGTGACATGCAAAGCTGTGTCCAACTGCTCATGTTTGTTTAAGACCACATGATCTGGCCTAAGTTTTAATTAAACTTCATGAGGTGGGTAAATTCATAACACTCAGTGAAGTGGTAGTTGGCAAACAAACTCGGCAAAACTCAATGCACACACACACACACACAATTTTCACATAAATTTTACACATCAGAAAAAGAAAAAGGAAATGAAAAAAATGGAACTCCTTACTGTGGTACTAACCATCCTAGCGGATGGGGGATTTGTCCTACAGTGCCCGGTGATAATGGATAATAAGGAGATATATCTGGAGGATGTGGAGGCCTTGGAATTCCTATAGGAGAGGAACATAAAGCAGCGTAAGTACAGAGACGTGGAAATGACTAAAATATAAAGAAAAAACACGTTTGTTCCTAAATTTCTATCCATTTATTTTTATTACAGTACTTGTGCCTTCACTTTGGGTTTCCAAAGGTTGTTTCACATTCTTATTTTTTAAAGTGAGCCTCCTGGCATTTTGTTAAATGATATTCAACCAGAAAAAAAAATGATATTATTTGCTCTCTTGGTCACCTCTCCAATCAGAGATAGTTATTTTGTTATTTAGAATTTAGAAGTCTCAGATATAATTTTAGTGTGATGCCGTACTAGATACTGTCTTAAATGCTCAACAGAAAGATGGATCCCGTAACAACTTCATGGTTATTTTAGTCTCAAAGTCAGCCAAGAGACCACAGGCCTTACCCAGGTACTGATGGGTACTCAATAACATGGCATTATTCTAAAGTAATCTCCAAAACGAGTTTGAAAGTCATTAAAACTGCAAATGATATTTGCTTTTGAGCAGACCTAGGGAACTCTTCTTGAAACCTAGGAGTGGAGGTGAGAGCCCCTGGAAATGCTTGGTAAAACCAGGGGCAGATGTTGAAGGTGAGGGGAGGACAGAGAGCCCACCTATCCTCTGAATCTGGTACAGTTCCTACTCAGAAAGCAGAAACCGGCTCCAGACACAAGCCTTAAATATTAATGCTCCTTACCTTAAGAGCAAGTAGGAATTACTCAGAGGAGTAAGGGTTACAAGACTGGGTCTTTCAATTAACAAGCCAGAGCACAATTACACAGCAGAAGCAAAATTAAAACAGAGAGCATTAAAAGGAAGAGGTACTGTATTCATGGCTAAAAACTATTTTTTTAAGTCACTTGGGAAGCTTTTAATCTCTAAATTAAATCTCCTTGTGTGACATTTTCATGCAGACATTGCTTTTTCTCCATTACAAAACCCAAACAGATTAACTGGGCTTTAACCATCCAGTGAGCTATTTGCACACTTGAAAGAATGTTCACAGAAGAAAAGTAAACAGTCTGTGGACGTTAATCATATGTTTTACGATAACCATTTAAAAGCTATTCCCTGTACTACCATTATTTAAATGAGAGGTTGACTATGCCATTCACTTGCAATACCCAGGGATGGAGAGATGGATTCCTTTCAAGCCACGAGAAGTTAGCATTAAGCACAATTAACAGGGGGGCCCCAGTTAAAGTGTAGGGAGTGAAAACCAGCTAATGCACAGCGTCATTCAAGGGCTGTAGTTTAGATAAATTATCTGCTTAAGGTAGAGATGACACAGAGAAATTGGTTCAACATGAATTCTGTTTCTGATGAACTTTCCAATCAACTAGACGGGATTTGGATTAACAAAACCAAAACCACTGTCACTAGGAACTCAATGCAGCTTGAAGAAAGAAGATTGACACTGTTTGACTTCTCTGGGACCTCAGGTTAAACAAGGACTCTTAAAAAGTTAGAATAACATGTAAATTCTACTCTGTAACACCAATAAATCTAGTCAGGGTTTTACGTGGTGCTCTATATTCAAGCAGACTGCCCTTCAGGCTGAACTCAGAGTTGGGTAGACTTACATTGGGGAAAAGAGTTGCAAGTGTAAAGCTGGAGCTAAGTAGTTACAGTGGATGAAAATTCAACATTATAGAAGAAAAATGGCTGAACTCCTGACACAGAAACAATGGGATTTGGGGAATTAAAAGAGATTCATTTTGAAACCGGTCATGACCCACCACCTTTAGAATTCCAGCTGCAATTCTGTAAGTGCAGATCACAGAACGTACATGTTTAATTCTCGGGGTCGTGCATGCAAACCAAGCACTTGGTAGATCGAACTACTAGGTGGGGTATCATTCTTGCAAAGAAACACACCTGCAAACGACCCCACACATGCAACTCTGGTGTCACCCTGCAGAAGCTTTATGAAAATTCACCCAGTAGGTTTCCTTCTGAAGCCTAATTGGCTTAAAAAGAAACTATTTTGTCTGGGTTTGACATTTTACATGCCCCCCTTTGGTGCTCCAGCATGGGAAATCCATTCTCCTGCACTCCTCTCCCCTGATACGCAAACTGGAAAGATCCACCCACTCCCTCTCAAGAAACCCCCCAGACTACTTCCCACCTACCTGTTTTGGGATCTACGTCGGCTGGTAAGTGTGGAGGAGGGTTTCCTGGTGTGAAGTGCTCATTGCTGTATGTGATAAGCGGCGTAAGAGGGTGTACATGGTGTGGGTGCTGCACAACTGGCACTTTGTTAGACTGTCAAGAGAAAAAAGAAGGACGAAGGCATTAGAGCAGTGGTGGGTATTCCTTCCCACTGCAGCACAAGGCATGATACACAGAAATTCGAGTAGCCACGATTTCAATGCGATCCTCAGACTTTTCCAGGTCCCTTCTCAGTGTCACCCTTGCAGTTTTCCCACTCTCTTGCTTAAAACCTCCTCACACACTTTCCCTGCTGTTGAGGTTCTTTAATCTTTTTGACCTGTCGAGCTCCTGTACGGAGCAACAGTAATTCTTTAAAATTTTTCCTTTTTATTTTATAATCTTGTGCTTCACCTCCAAGATGCAGGCAGACTTCTCAGTGAGGGGCTGAGAGAGTCCCCCATTTAATTAGCACGAGACCCAAATGCTCACTGACCTGTAGGTCTTTTCCTCTCCCCTTCCTGTCCTCACTTTCAGTTCTGCATTTTACTGCTCATTGCAAATACTCCAGATAAAAAGCCTTTGTAGTGCTGGAGTATTCCCTTCATCAGCAAGCATTAAGCTGACAAGTGATCACCTGCATATTTTATATATATATATTTTAGAAGAGCTGATTAATTATCAATTCATCAGAGAGCGCTAATAAATGGAAACTGGATACTGATTAATTAGGCTGCTAAAATATTCAGCTATATAAATAATAGTAAAAACCCCTAGATAAAGACATTGAAATTAAAACTCTTGTGGGGGGAATAATCACGCAGATATCAGGAGGTTTTCCCCATTACATTCCTAGCTCTGGAGGGGGAAAAAGATATTTTTCTTAACAACAATTTAAAAAAAAAAAAAAAAGGGAGTGAATGAATGAAATGAAAAGGTAGGCTGAACTGTAACTTACCCTTACAAGATCACAAAGAAAAAATTAAGCTGAAACAAGCGAACCGCTGGACCATTTACTGCGAGTAATCCAATTGCAAAAAACCCTATTCCCCACAGAGGATTTTCACTAAAATCCTACAACAGGGACATTTAACCAGATTAGGTACCAGCAAAGATAAAGAGGCTGGTATTAGATGATGAATGGATTAGAGTCAGGTTTCATTTTAGAATGTGTCTTCATTTCCTTTTATTACTTTAAGTAAGGAACAACTTGCATTAACATCAAGTAAAAGGAATCACATTAAAATAAAGCAGTGATAGCACGGTGGCCGCGATAGCGCCGCTGCTGTTCAGGGTCTGCCAGCACTCTCCTGCTCTCTCTCCTGCTCAAGGATGATTCCAAACCCACTGCTTGATCCCCCAGCACCCCCAAACACACACATCCTCCCTGGGCTGCTTTAGACAAGGTATTATCTGATCTCACCTGGAACACTCCGAGCACACCCTAAAAGCATTTCAAAAATAATTTGGTTGTTCTCTGGGAATGAGTTTTGAGACGGGGGGGAAGGAAGAGGGAGGATAAACTGAGAGCAAGGAGGAAAAGAAATATCTGTCTTCCCTGAATAAACATGAAGTCCCTCCATTGTGCTTTGGTCAAGTGAAGCACCTTTGCTCTTGCAGCCTCCCCCACAACATGAGGCTCCCCCAGCCCTGTCCTACGCAGCTATTGAGCTCAAACCTTTGATAATCTGCAGAAAAAAAGTGTGCATCCAAAAGAAGCAAGCCAAGTGCAGTGCTTGTGCTTTGCTCAACTTTTATCATGTCCTTCACTATGCTCATCTCCTTTTGCAGCCCTTACACGAGATGATTCCCCTCTAACACCACACACGTGGCACATGGGATTCCCATATCAAGCGGCCACAATGCAGGACAGAGCATGGCCATGACAGCCAATGCTGCAGCATGTTGTGTTGGTGGGGTTGTAGGTCAGATCTTCTGCCAGCTGAACAGCCAAGGACAACTTTTGGCCACACAGATCCGTAACGGTTTCAAATCAGAGAAACTATGAGGATTTAGCTCTTGAAGTTCAAAAAGCCAAAGGAGATGCTTTACCCCCAAATCTGTTCCCTTTCAAGTGAACCAACACCTAAGCACTCCAAAAGTAACTGAAAGCTTTGGCAAGGGTTTCATGTAACAAATTGTATTACACACCATAAAAAGAAGCAAGCATCTACTCAACGACACATGACATTATAAGCCAAATGACCAGTTGATCAACTTCACAAAAATGATCACTTTCAATAAGAGGTATTTTTTCTGGCCAAGAATTGTGTGAATTCATGCTGCTAGGTGACCCACAGTGAAGATCCACTTATTGAAGAAGTTAATACATGCTGTAGCTTTGTACTCTCCCAACTCTTCACATCATTGCAAATAAACCTCACCCAGACCCTGGTAGACATTAAGGGCTGTCTTCCACAGAGTGCTTATTTTCATAGAAACTGGAACTGGATATTTAAAAAAATAAGTAAGTGATAGAATAACATTAGAGAGTCAGACTTAAGCCCAAAACCAAGAAACAACATATGACAGGAAAGCTGGACTGACATGCCTCTATCACCAAAGCCAGATATACCATAGGGGGTTACATGCACACTGTGGGAAACCGCCACTCATTACTTTGATATACCAATGCCGCCCACAATATCTCCACAAAATAGAGCAAGTGCTACATTATGATGTATTTTACTTAACATGTTTCAGAGAACTATAAAAAGTAAACAGAAGAATAGATAACGATCAATAAGTAAGAGTTTGAACCTTAAGTCTGCAAACTTTTCCCCAGGTAAGTCATTTTTATTTGGGTGACTGCCCTGCACTCAGACAGACAACTCATATAAAGGTACTGGATGCAAGGGTAGGGTATTTTTTTGCCATTCTGATGATGTTGGGGTGGAGGTGTGGGCAAAATGTACTGGGGGAAAGGTGGAAACTGTCATATACATGCTCAAAAATATGCTCTCTGGGACAGAGGAGTGTGATCCACTTCCCTGAGAATCAGTCTGCATCTGCATCACCACCCAGGGCCAGGTTTCCATTACGTTTTGCACTGTTTATCACACACTGGGAGTAAGGGGACCATAACTGCCCTCAAAACAGCACACACAGTTTGCAAGCCAAGCTAATCATGCACAATATGCTAAAAAAGCTGCTCTTTAAAAATACCATTCCTGAAGTTAACTTAGTTTCCTTGGGAAAGAGAAAATGAAAGGACAGGCTGGGGAAGAGCAGGATTAATCCTGCACATGCATCTTCCTTTGAAGTCAATGGGAGCTCTGCTTGAGTAACAAGTGTGGTCCTAACCCCATCCACTGGCAGTGAAAGGTAAACCACAGAAGCCATCAATATGAGACACCTATTAAATGACCTTAGACATGGCCCTGCAAAAGGCCCTTCTCCAATATACATTTGTGAGTACTTTATCAAGGGCAGCTTTAAGCTAAAAGCCATTGTGAGAAGCAGGAATTTCTCTGGCAAGTTGAAGAACTCCATTTATGGCTATGTCAGGCACAGAAAGGGGAGCTGCACTGGTAGGAACAGATTAGCATCAGGGCATGTGGTAACAGGACAGGAACAAGTGGAGATTTCTAGACAGAGATTCCAGTATCTATATGGTACCAAGTCATCTGCTGATAAATTATCCCTCTCCACTGAAAGCTGAGGTCTCATACGCTATGTTAGAGGCCATGGTAAAGAATTGCAAAAAAACAAGAGAAGTTTGCTTTTCTTGATAACTCCTGCCTAAAGCAAACCAGAGGAAACTGTCCCCATAGGGGCTCTATTACTAAATCTCTCTATATGAGTTTGAAATGCTTCTGGGAGTGCTTAAACACAGATGACTTTAAACAATAATGGAGCTCTAGAATTAAAAAAAAAAAAAAAAAAAAAAAAAAAAAAAAAAAAAAAAAAAAAAAAAAAAAAAAAAAAAAAAAAAAAAAAAAAAAAAAACAAAAAAAAAACCACACCAAAACCACAACAAATTTTGGACTGATAAATGTTTCAGAAGAATACTGAGATCCAGTTAGCCTGAGTTCTGATAGGTGCCTTTAGGGAACAAAAAAAAAACCTATATGAACTTCAGATTTAAACTGCAGGGGATTGTGCGTATAAATTGCTGTGTATTAGTCTTTGTTGCATGGTAAGGACATTTCATTAACAGGATGAAAGATACTTCTATGCGTACACAGCCCAATTTAATACACCCCACTGATGAATACTCCCCATTTATTGAAGAAGTTAATACATGCTGTATAAATCAATAGTTCCTAAGTCTCTGAAAGCAACATAAGACTTGCACAAAATGAAACATTGTATTGTTGAGCACACAAAGAGAAACGAACCTTTAAATGGGAAGACTTTGCAACTGCAATTTCTGTTTGCAAATTCATACCTTCTTTGGCTCTGGTATAAAATCACTGTATCAAAGTCAGAAAAAAACATGCCAGAGACACCAGAGGATTTGTCCTCACTGGAGTAACATGGGTTTAGTGAAAACAGAAAAAAAAAAAAAAAAAAAGACACCCAGGCTGAAAACAAACCATCATGCCATCGCAGCACTGCAGCACTCCAAGTCTTCAGCCTGACTCTGCTCCACCATGTCCCCGGTGAGCAGCCAAGGGCAGGACAGGGGGGGATGCTCCTGTCCCAGCCCAGCCTGAAACTCTGGTGGCCGCCAGCACAACTGCAGCCAGGGAGAGACTCCCTTGCCCGACCTGGGCGACCTTTTAAGTGTACTAAGAGCTTGCAGTCCTGCTTGGGAGGCAGGGATGTGCTGCGGTCCACCAGGCACCCTCCGCCACCCACAGCCGGGAACATGGCACGGGAGGCACTGGTCAGGTATTTGCGTCCCAGACCCCCAAAGTCCCCTCCCCTTCTTCCACGACCAGAGGAATGAGAGTTCACCATCCACCTTAAAACCTATTAATCAAGAGACACTGAAAACAAATGGAGCTAGAGCTCCGCCTGTCTTTTTGCTGTGTCTTCCTCTTCCCCTGTTTCCCCATTGCTTTCCTTTTCTGTTGAAGAAAGATGGGCCCTGAAAGTGCTTTTATGAGCCTAATACAATAAAACAAAAGCAGCACAGAAAGGGTTTGTCAGCCTTTTCCCCTCCTCCA